CTCAAGCCTCGCCGGCAAGGTCCTACACGCCTGCGTCGGGGACGCACTGACCCGGGTCAATGCAAACCTGGGTCAGTCAGGCTTTGCAAGATCCCGCAAGACGCTGCAGGATCCTGCGCGCTAACCTGGATCAGTGCACCCCGGGTTCTGCAGGATCCTGCGAGATCCAGCGCTCTGGCTTCTGGCTGACCCCCATTTGCATTGACCTCCTTCTCCAGGCTCCCGAATCCAGGGGCTCAAGATGGCCCCGACCAGGCGCAGATGGTGGGTGCACAAACTGCCCCCTGCGGAGCGGATCCGCCTCCGCGCCCGCCTGCCGCCTCAAGAGGCCCCAGCTGATCTACTCGGCAGATGCCTCCCGCTTCCGGTCGAGGACACTGCACGCCCAGCTCTCCCTCCTCCTCCTCGTGTGTTCGCCAGCGGGAGGGCAGCAAACAGGGGGGGGGGGGGGGGGAGAACACACCGTGCACGTTCCGTGCTCCTTCTGGGTGGCAGCTTACAGCGGCCACTCAGGGCCCCCCCCGGCCCGTTCCCTTCAGTCCTCGCGCTCCCCCCACGTTTGTTGTTCCCCCGTTGCTGCCCGCCACGACCCCCCCTTGTGGATGCCATGACAATGGACACTCCAACAGCTCTATCGTTGGATTCAAGATGTGCTTCTAATGTTTTCCCGTTGTCGAGAACATGTGTCAGACACGCTTGCTGCATGTCTAGAACATGCTTTGCATCCTTTCGACATCTGGAAATTGTTTGACAGCGTGCCTCCTCTCCACTGCTCGTCTTCCACCATCCTCCCCTGCCTCCCCACCCTGCCACTGGCCCCTCGCGCGCGCCAGGGGCCTGCCTCGAACCCCCCCCCGAGAGTGGCCCGGCCTGCCGCGCCGCCCATGCCCTCGAGGCTCCCTCGCCCCTTCACCGCCCCGCTCCGTGCCTGGAGCTCCACGAAGGGCCCCAACATGACCCGAGGTCAGAATCAATCAGCATCGAACGGAAACACAAATCATCGGATCGAATCGGGATGTGCGTCGGACCGGGCTGCGTCGGCACGGAGGCGGCATCGGATCGGATCGGCTGCACCAGGACGCACAACAACGCCATGCGAGCATCGGACCGTACCAGATCACTGGGATGTCGAATCGGATCAAGCTGGCCAGAATCGATATCGAATTAGGTCGATCGAATCGACATTGAATCGGATCGAAGCCGACATCACCGAAAAATTCGATCGGAGATTTGCCTTCTCGCCTCCTCGGCTTCCGATGGGTATCTGGGGGCTCGAGATGGCTCCGAAATGGCAGAAGGCCCCAAGAAGGGCTCGAACGGGCCCGAAGATGATCCACCTCAAGAGGGTCCAAAGATGACACCAAGAGACCATGAGGCTAAGCACGGACGCTTATCAAGGATCCCCCCTTCTTCGACGCTTGCATCCTGGACGGCATCGAGAAAGTCACAAAGGCTCATACAGGCCTCTACGAGAGCCCTAATAGGGTTTCACCCTAAAAATGATTACCCAAGGCGGCCACCCAAACTCAAGGCAAGTTAGACGAAGCGAGAGTAACATGTCTTACGCTAGCCAAAGGTAAGCTGACAAGAACTCTGATTTGGTCAGCTCAGCTCTTTCTTCGCATCGCCCTCATCCTCCCAAAACACCTCCTCGCCCCTCCCCCTGACCTCTCACCTCGATAGATCCACGACGCTCCCTCCCTCCCTCCCCTTCCCCTCGGGTCACCAACGTGACTCCGCTCCCCTATTCCGACGCGCATGGCCTAGGTGGGCCAGCATGCCCTTCGCAGCCGGCCGAAGGGTACCTAGAGGAAAACAGGGGGCCGGCAAGCGAGCGGCAAGCTCGGAACAGCGGTGGGGAGGGAGGAGGAGGAGGAAGAGGAGGAGGAGGAGGAGGAGGAGGAGGAGGAGGGAGGAGGAGGAGGGAGGAGGAGGGAGGAGGAGGAGGAGGAGGAAGGAGGGAGGACGGAGGAGGGACGAGTGAGGAGGGAGGACGGAGGAGGATCGAGGCCCCAAGACCGAGGATGGCTGCTGTTTGTGCGTCTCTGTTGCCTCTTCGGGCCTCCTGGGGCGCCTTCGTCGCCACCGCTGGACCCCCCGAAATTCTGGCCAGAACGAACATCAGGAGAGGTCCGAGACTCGATCTGGCGATCCCAAACCTCCGACGTCGCGATTTTCTCACAAGTGATTGTTTTCTTATTCGGCGTTTCGACATTGGGCGGAAAGGGGGGAGGGGGGTCTGGCTCCAGACCTCTGCTTGATGCGACTGCTTGCGACAGTGCGTCCTACGGGGCAGACTCCACCTGCTCGAAACAGGCACCAAAAACAGCCAAGATCTACTCCTTGGGGGGAGAGGGGGGTGCGAGGACCCGCGGCGATCGGCATTACAACGAATACGAATACGATCAACAACGTGAGGCCCATCGGGTACCTTTTCCCCACAACCAACTATTTGGAGGGTGAAAGAGGGGGTCTGCAACAGGGGGTCTTCAATGGGGGCTGAATGGCCCATGTATGCTCAATGTATCGCTCATGTATGTGATCGGGTACGATTGGCATCCGATGCTGGCGGTCATTGGCGGCCAGTCATTCGTGCCCGCGCGTTGCCCGCGCGGGCGCACGCGCCGTCCATCCATTATCGTTCATGCGTGCGGGCGTTCTTGCATATTGCGCGTGGGTCGGCGAAGTGGAGTGCACGTATGTCTTGATTGTGCGGTTGATGATCGCGTACGCTCCCAAACGATGACTTCTCGACCCCCAAGACAGATTTGGAATGGGCCCCGCGATTCTTCCAAAATATGAATTCACATTTTCCTTTTTCCCAAAATGCGAATTCACATTTTCCTGTTTCGCAAAATGTGAATTCACATTCTGGCCCCTTTCATAAAGAATCCTACCTAACATTCCAAAATGAGAATTCACATTTTCCTTTTTCCCACAATGTGAATTCAAATTTTGTTTTTCCCCACAATGTGAATTCACATTTTGCCCTGGCCTTCAAGACCCCCAAAACTGAGGCGCAGTGTTCCGCATGCCAGATTGGCTGGGCAGATTTCGACACTCACCCGACCGCTTTCGTGTGTTCCAGCCTGTTCTTGTTGCGCCCTTAGCGCACGTTGCCTGCGTCGCCTTTCCCGAGCCCCCCGCCCCCTTGCTTCCTTTCCCCTCAAGTCTCGCGCGCGGGTGCAGGCGGGTGGCTTCAATTAGTTCCCCCGCCGAACACAGCAATCGAGGATGCATCGCCCATTCATGACTTTTTTTAAATATATGTATATATATATATATATATATATATATATATAAAAATGCCGGGACCCTGCGCCCGACCCCCACTTTCACCCTCCAAACTATTCATCCTGGGCTGTTGTTTGCCGGTCCCAGGACCTGGCAAAGTCCCCCAAGAGCAAATAGTTGGGAAAACCTTCCGCAATGATTGTATACGACGCGAGATGTCAGAGGAGGGGGGAGCAACGGGGGGCATGGCGACCCCAATCCCCGACTTTGTGGGTTTGGGCTCAATTCGGGGATACACGATGGTGGGGAGTAAATCCTCGATAGGGGTATCCACTTAGCCAAAAGGTGTATCCACGAGTTCCCCTCCTGTCCTGAGCGGCCCTCTGGGGTTGGGTGCGAGAAATCGCCTGCGAGGGAAGGAAAAGGTGGGAGGAAGTGGGAAGAGAATTGCCAGGATTACCGCCTTCGCTAGAGTGAAATCAAAGCTACATGCTAAGGCCGCCCCCAGAGCTCACCCGCCAACGAGACGAACCAGAAGGAGGAACCCAGCGAGAGGTACAAGTAGAACGCGACACCGAAGTTCATGATAACATACCACGGCGAATCCCTCCAAACTGACTGGCGCCCTCGACAAACGAAACGTGATAAGCTAAGCTGAAATGAACTCGGCTCGATTCGGCCCTACCGTAGATAATCGGGCAACCTCTCACGTATATCATAAAAATCGCCTCATCCACAGACAGCCTCGCAAAACAGTAACGCAATCGAGAATTACCAGCCGAAGTGTTCATCCCTGCCAGCCGAGAACACTGCACCCACAAACCAACAAATTGAATTGAAATAGCTCCCAGAACCACGCCCCAGCGAAAAAGCCGCCGCCCGAGTGGGTCTTAGATGGGCTCGAAGCCCCCGTGCCCCCCGGTTGCGGACGGGATGCCGATGAAGAGGTCCAAGGAGAGCACCACGACGAACACCGCCGCGCTCCGCCGCCCGAGTGGGACTTAGATGGGCTCGAAGCCCCCGTGCCCCTCGGTGCGGACGGGATGCCGAGGAAGATGTTCGGGAAAATGTTGAAACACGAATTCGCTTCCCTTCGTCACCAGGAGGGGCTGAACGATGTCGTTGCAAGCAAAAGACTCCAAACACTGTCCAGACGCCCTGGTGTCCCCCAAGCGCCGACGAGGAGGCGGGAAGCTAGGCTAGCGCGAGCGAGTGAGAGCCAAAAGATGGTACTACGCGCTCCGCCCACCTGTGCTTGAGAGGAAGTGGGAAGAGAATGAGAAGAAGGAGGAAGAGGAATAGGTGGATGAAGAGAAGGAGGCATGTGGGAGGAGGAGGAAAAAAAGGGGGAGGAGGAGGAGGAGGAGGAGGAGTTGGAGGAGGAGTTGGACAGATGAGGAGGAAGGTTGGATGAGGGGAAGATCATCCAGCGAACACGTCTAAAAACCTCGTACTGCCCTCCTGGCCCCCTGCCCCCGCTCACAGGAGGCCGAGGAGTGGGGAGGGGAAGGGAGATGAAGATGGCGAGGAGGAGGCGGAAAAGGAGGAGGAAGGAGGGAGATGGGAGGTAGCAGGAGGAGGGAGGAGGAGGGAGGAGGAAGGCGGCAAGAGGGGGGAGGAGCAGGAGGAGGCGGACGAGGAGAAGGAGGAGGAGCAGGAGGAGGAGGTGGGGGAGGAGGAGGAGGAGGAGGAAGGGAAGGAGGAGGGGAAGGAGGAGGAGGAGGAGGAGGAGGAAGAGGAAGGAGGAGGAAGGAGGAGGGAGGGGGAGGAGGGAGGAGGGAGGAGGGAGGCACGCGGAGCGCGGCGGCGCCCCGGCTCAGACCTGGAAGGCGCCCGGCGCCTCCTGCTTGCTCTGTTCCCTGCCCGCTCGGCGCCGCCCGCGGCAGACGTGCCAACGAGGGGTCCGTGAAGGAGGAGGAGGAAAGGGGTGAGGATGAGCATGAGGATGAGGATGAGGATGAGGATGAGGATGAGGATGATGAGGATGATGATGATGATGATGATGATGAGGATGATGAGGATGATGAGGATGATGAGGATGATGAGGATGAGGATGAGGATGAGGATGAGGATGAGGATGAGGGATGAGGATGAGGATGAGGATGAGGATGAGGATGATGATGATGATGATGATGATGATGATGATGATGATGATGATGATGATGATGATGACAATGATAATGATAATGATACTGATATTGATAATGATAATGATAATGATAATGATAATGATAATGATAATGATGATGATGCCGAAATGCGGGGCGGAGCCGCACGCGAACGCAGCCGCTGGAACGGTGGAGCTCCCCATGGGGCCACGAAGCGTTGCACTGCGTGCGCCGAAACACAGACATGCGGAGGGCAGAGGCAAGGAGGGGGGAGGAGGGAGGGGAGGAGGAAGGAAGGAGGAAGAGCGCGGGGCGCTGTCTCTTCAGAACGAGAACCAAACACAACAGGATGATTGTGAAAAACTACAACCATACACTTTGACTTCAAATCTGGAGCATGCGCAGGGCCCTCTTTTCTCTGAGCTCTCATCTGTTCCACGATTCCTCAAGATGTCACAATGTGTACACCGGTGCCGGTGCTTTGCGCTCCCTGGAAGAGAACCGCCCTTCTCACAGAATGCTCGGCACTTCGCTTCAGGGGATCCAAGATCCTGAACTCCTTGGGACCAGGGCCCCAGGCACCTGTATCGGTTCCCCGTGGCTGGCGCACCCGACGCGGCCGGAACACGTGGCACAGTCGGCGCACGTGGAGCATGTGCCGCACCTGGCACGCTTGGGCCTCCAGGGAACCCGGTGCACCTGGGAGTCGTGGCGCGCATGGCATGTGTGGCGTTCCTAGGCGATCTGCTGACACTCAGGTGTTACTTATATGTAATCGGGGGGACGTAATTCAGACTCGGGTACGGGGAACTCGGGTTGGCCTGACGGGACAATCAAGAAAATGACGAGACGACCCAATCTGAAATTTGACGCGAGCTCCCGCTGCAAACATCCCACGAAAACTGGACCGTCAAATCCAGGACACGCTCGTCAAAAAAAAACATCTGCAAACCCGAGTTCTGGCTTACTCGAGCTTTGCGTTTCCCCAAACGTGTTGGGAGGGGAGGTGGGAGTATGCTAGACGGCCTGCGATCTGGGAGGGTAGCTCGACCCATCCCCATACCTCTTCCCCTGGACCCGGACGTGGCGCCCCGCAGCCCGTTGGAGCGTCCAGGAAGGCCTCGGCGAGAAGACACAGAACATCGAGCTCAGACATCTGGCTGCTCCAATTCCTTCGATGCTGGAACCAGTGATGGGCCGCCTCAGTGAGACGCAGCCCGAACGAGGACAACGCCGGGCGAGGCTTCCTCGGGCATCTCTTGAGATCCGGCGGCTCGGCCGGACGCCTCGGGCGCCGCGGCCCTCTCAGAGCGCCCCGGGAACGCTCCGAGAGCGTTCCGAACGCTCTGGAAGGCCGCGTGCCGAAGAAGCCGCGCCGTCGGATATCGGGGCGAGTGCCGCCACAGCCGGGCGGCACGAGGCGACGAGCCGTCGGGGGGGCCCGCGGGCTCCCCCGAGGCGTCGCTGGTTCCTCGTCGCCGCTCCCAGCCCCACGCTCGGGCTCCCGCCCCTCCTTCCCCCACTCCTCCTCTCCCTGCCCCCTCGGGAGGCAGCTCCTCCTCCTGCTGCTCCCCCTGCCCCATCCTCCTCCTCCTCCTCCTCCTCCTCCTCCTCCTCCTCCTCCTCCTCCTCCTCCCTCCTCCTCCTCCTCCATCCCTCCTCCTCCTCCTCCTCCTCCTCCTCCTCCTCCTCCTCCTCCTGCTCCTCCTCCTCCTCCTCCTTCCCTCCTCCTCCTCCTCCTCCTCCTCCTCCTCCTCCTCCTCCTCCTCTCCTCCTCCTCCTCCTCCTCTTCCTCCTCTCCTCCTCCTCCTCCTCCTCCTCCTTTCTCCTCCTCCTCCTCATCCTCCTCCTCTTCCTCCTCCTCCTCCTCCTCCTCCTCCTCCTCCTCCAACTGTTAATCCTCTTCCTCCTTCCCCCCTCAAGGCACCCACCGCCTCCCTCGTCCTTCCCTTCCTCTGGCCCGGGGCCCCTCGGAAGCCAACTGGCCACAGCTGTCCCCTTCTGCCGGTCCTGGGCCCACTCCTTCTGTCAGCGGCGAGCGAGGGGGGGAAATGAGAAGGAGAAGGCCTTCTCAAAGGCGTGGGGACTTAGAAAACTTCTCAGAAGGCCGGGGGACTTCCAAGCCTTCTGAGGAGGCCCGCCCCTTCTCACTTCCCCC